GACCGCATCCAAACGGGTTTTACTACACAGCTTCCATCTAGGACTCCCAGCGGAACGTGACGTAAATTACGTCATGCGTTACTAGGTAACAGTGCTCATACATATGCTCGAACCCCACTCAAGTGGGGTTCGCAGAATTACACACTTTGTCCGTGTTGAAGTCGTCATGTCAATACTCTTTTTGGTTTTTCTTCAGTATCACTAGTTTAGTGATCTGAATCATCAATAAATACATGTTCAGTAAGTTAGACATAATTTCTTCTTTCGGTTGTAAGGAACATTTTTCTTTGTTCATGGAAAAGGAACAGGGTTTTTTTTATTAAACTAACTTTTCATGGTCTTAAAAAGTTTGTTTTCTTTGATTAACTTTTTTAACAAATGCACAAAAATCAGTTGCGTTCATTACTATATATCATATAAAGATTTTGATTTTAAATATGTTTTTGACAAGCGCATTTCAGTGTATCATTAAAACGCTCAACGATGAATGGGAAATGGTTTGTATAAGCATTATAAAATGGATTTCTGAATAAAGTTCCGTTGCGCGTGACATAAGAATTTTGTACAAAAATATTTGAGTGAAAAAAATGCCGCGCACATTAAAAATGTATCTGAGAGCTTGTGGGATACAAGAAGTAAACTAATGCACCGGCACGCCCTTTTTCCGTCCATCATAAGCCACACGTCATTTGGCTCTCTACATAATTGTCCTACTCTTTGACCTTCTTTTAAAATATTTCCTTGAGCTGCAATATTTCATTGCATTAGAAACAAACACCGGACTGAATTTAGCTTCAAGGTGAGTGGGAAATTTGAGGACATAAAGAATGAATTAAACGAGCCATAACTGACTCCTAAAGACAGGTTAATTAGCTAGTATAGCGATACACTACGACGATATTTTTCTGTCTGTGGTTTGTGAGGCATGCATCTATTTCAGTAACTCTTCAAACTGGCGAAATAAAGCGATCGAGTTCGGTATATTATTTATTTTTGCCTAGCAAAAATTTTTTCTGTGTGGGTTTCATTAATGAGATGCCTCAGTATAAAGTGGGAGCCATACAAAATTGACTGGAAATTAACTGCAATGATGAGGTGGGGCTCATAAAATGGGTCAAAAGAATATTACGTGAATCAACCAAAATACTTCAGCTCCTCTCCTTACTCGATGGATAATGAACAGTACCAAAGATTAAGTTCTGTGCCTTCAACAATTGCGAATCCTCCTTGAGAACAGGATGCAACACCCAGGAAAATTGATGCTCACCTGCGAGGATTATCGTTTTACTTGATTTTCATCCGCAGGTCAAATTAACTTCATTTCATTAAATATGAAGCTCAGATTTCTCTACGGGAAAGAAAAAATCTCAAAAATTCTCATTGCTCCTGAGGTGTGGATTCCTAGTTGGTTAGTAGCAGCGCCCAACTAGTATCTGAGCGGAATAGGTTTGAATCCCGTCGAAGTCTAATATTTTCAAGCTTCTTTTCTGCATTGGTAAAATTACAGCTCATCTGCGAGGATTACTGCTTTGCCTGATTTTAGTGAAAGGTCATAACGTTTGAAGAGCATGTTTTGGGTGTGGCATAGCAATTTGCGTTCGGACGATTCTACCTTATTCTTTGTTAACGGGTAAGTTCCACTCTCTTTCTTTAGTTCAAGAATTCACTAACCTGCTTTGAAAGAGACATGTTGAGGATAAACCGCTTGATTTTCAAAACTGGATTACGAGTTGAAATAGTCTGTTGTGGTTCACTCCGTCGTTGACCAAGCTGAACTGATTGGAATGTGAAGGTGGATTGATGTTTAAAGCTAAAATAGAACAAACAAACGCTCATTAATAATGATGATACCACGTGAATCATCGTGTGATATCCCACGTTAACCATGGTGTGATATTGAACAATTTGTCCATGCTTAGTGCGCGTGTATTTGTAGCTTAAACTTTAAGTAAAATTTAAAAGAAGTCTTAAATCTTGTAACAAAAAAGTAATATTCGATTCCTTTTTGATAGATTTTAGATTGTTTATAGCTTATGCAATTTGTTGGTTAGTAATCTGTTTCGTCAAACAGAGGCGCACCTATGGATAATTGTAACAAAATTTCATTTCCTCTTTTAATTGAAATACCAGTTGGATAACTTCATCCGCAGCCCGTTTAACCAGAGTCGGCCTAAGCTCCAGCTGTGAGATGATCATCTTGGGAAGTAAGAGTCATGGCGAGAGTTTATATGGAAATGTTTATGATCGCTCTTAGGAATAAAAAAATCGCTCAAATTTTCAACTAAAATACCTCACCTTACTTCCGCCGTGCATCACGTGGTACATTTGGCATAATCAGTTTTGCCACATGCAGGAATGTGACTCCAAATTGCAGTTACACGGTCACTTTGGAGCTTGGATTTTTCGCTTCTCGGATGGGGCGTTCGGAAATGCAGTGTGCAGCCTTGGGCTTCCCTTATGCAGTAAACCTAGAAATGGATGACTCGCTAAAATGGGTTCTTTTCAACGTAAAGAAAAAAGCGATCAGCTAAGATTATCACACCGTCTCTTAGCATCAATAATAGTATTAAACTACGGGTGCCAAGGAACGGTGTGGTCCCCGGCGAGGTACAGTTTGCAAAGAAAGCAAGGTTTTTTTGTTTTTTTTGTTTTTGACCTTGACTTTAGCAAAGCGTTGACTAATTTAATAGCGTATTATCCAACTGTAAAAGCTTAGGGTTTGGCTCCCAACTGGCTCGTTAGCTCAGTTGGTAGAGCGCTGCACCGGTTCAAATCCCGTACAGGCTTGATTTTTTTTCAGACCTTATTTTCACTACTGCTTAAGAAGTGTTCATAACTGCGAAGATCGCTTCCGTATTCATTTCTTTATCCACAGTTCACATATATGGTTTTCATATATTTACGGTTGTAACTTGTTCTACCATTGACTTTGCGGACAGCTGTTTTCATTTCAGTACCACAAGTTCTAGAGTTGCCTAAATCGTTTCCACTGCTAAAGAGAAGCTTATTTCGTGGACGTTGCAGAAATATTCGTAGCCGTTAGTGGACCTCTTTCTTCGTTAGGACACTTACTTAATGTGAATTTTCACCCAAGAGCCATTCTAAAGATGGCGTTTCGAGCGTTTATAAAACTAAACCATCTGATTATGTAATCATTTGTGTCCGTGTGCTGCCATCTATCGACCCTGTGTCTTTTTTTTTTGTTTTTGTTTCTGACCTTGACTTTAGCAAAGCATTGACTAATTCAATAGTGCTTTTGTAACCCGTTTAGTGAACCTGCCCCCTGCAAAGGAGGCAGGATTACCAAGCTGGTTTTCAAAGGTCGTGTGTCGTGGTGAATGTGTATGCAGGCCGTTAGAAACGTCTAAACTGGAAATTTTTAAAAGAAAATTGCGGGTTAGTGTCGGTATTACGAGGAGGATTGAGTTTGTAATGAATTGAGATGAAACTACGGTATATGTACTTGGATTCTACGTTGGATATGTGGCTGCACGGTCATTCTGAGCGTAGCTTTTCGCCTCTCGGATCGGGTGTTCGGAAATGGAATGTGCAGCCTTGGGCTCGGTCAGTGTAACATGCAAACCGGGGTAAAATGCAGACTCGGTTCTTTAGTTTAAATTAATGAACATTATTCCAGTGAATAAAAACACGTCACAGCAAAACTAAATTTCCTAAGCATCCCTTGCCAGCCAACAAGAAGCACAACATAAGTTAAGTTGACCATGACAGCCGCAGATTTACCTCGGCATAATACTGGAGAGAAAGAATGAGCGGAATAAAAAAAGGCAAACACCTTGGCCCAGTTGTATAAAGGGCGGATAACAATATCCAACGGATAAATCGCTATCCAGCGGATAAGTAATAGCAAAACGCATAGCGTTATCCATCGGATACAGATTTATCCGGTGGATAGCGTTATCCTACAACCAAGTAGGGGATATTGTTTGGAGGTTTTTAATTAGACCCTTCGTGGTCTCACACCCACAAATTTGCATTAAATTTAAAGAATTTGCACGCCTAACTTCGCAGCGCAAAATAAATTCAAATAATAATAATTATTGTAATTGTCCATCTTATCGAAATTGCCGATGTGTGATTAAAGTCTATCGCTGTTACTTTCAAGGCCGAACAAAGTATAAATGAGCTACATGTATGTTAATGCTACCTAATGTTGCCCAGCAGAACTGTTTATCCCTTAACAAGGGAAATGTATTTAGCTGGCTGTGAACTGCATATTAAGACACTTACGTTTCTCGTTCTTACCTTGAAACAATATGTCAGCGTCAAGATCACCTGAGGAAGTGAAGTTCGAAACATCAATCGCAATGACGATTATTGCCAGCCTCTCATGACTTACGCGGCCTCAATCCAGCTCATTCTTGAAGTGGAAGCGGGGAAGCGGATGGTTTTAGACCCGAGTCCGCATTTTACCCCTGATCTACAGTCTTCAGTGTGCATTTTACCCTCAGTCTGTATTTCATCCCTGCAGTCTGCAGTCGCTATACTTTAAGAAGAACAAAATCTGTAAACGAAAAACGTTTACCTTTACCAAACTATATTGTTTCAAAAGTGGAGAAATCTTAGCTTCATCTATAAACAGATACATGCCCCACAAACCCCAGACCGAAAAATACCGTCGTAGTGTGTCGCTATTTATAATATAATACTAATTAACCTGTCTTCATGTGCCAGTTGTAGTTGGTTTAATTTGTTCTCCATGTCCTCAAGCTTCCAACCCACCTTCGAGCTAAGTTTAGTCGAGTGTTTGTTTCTGATGCGGTGAAATATTGCAGCGCAAGGAAATATTTTAAAAGAACGTCAAAGAGTAGGAAAGTTACATATATAGAGCCAAATGGTCCGAGGCGCATTGTGTTAATTTAATATGGCGTAAGCTGTATCTTAAGAGTAGAAATAAAAAAATTGATGGATAGTGAGCAAGTAATGTACCGGAAAATTAAAACCAACTTAGGTCTTTGAAATATTACTGTCAGCAGAAAATAATCGTTCTTCCCTTTTTACTTATTCAGGCCATTCTGAAAGATATGAGGATAGAATTTGAAATGAAGGGTAGTGTCAATGGACATCACTTTGAGATCGAAGGTGAAGGAAAAGAAAGGCCTTACGAGTAAGTCTGTCCTGAAAGACAGACCACGATGAATTATTTCATTACTAAGCATCACAATTTATGTTAAACAAAGAGTTGAATAAGATCACATTGCAGTCGTCTAATAAGGCATCAATGATTTTGGGAAATTAAGAAAATAAATAAAGACTCTTTTGTATAGCAAAGTGAACAAGATCAAAGATTCATAGAAAGATTTTCAATTAAACCATGGGCTTGTTTTTATTCGCGTTTGCAAATCACCTACAGTCTATGACATCGACTTCTTCATCTGTTTCCAGAGTCAGGCGAATTGTAAAGGCTACTGCAGATTATCCTGTAAACGCTCAGTCCCAGGGTAATTTACTTGCGATACTTTAATCTCTTACACTTAACATGAAAGGTTATGCAGTATTTGACTTAAGTTTGAGTTATCACGAGCATGAAATACTTGGTCTTTCCTAATTTTCCTGTATTTCAGGTCATACATGAGCTGTTTCTGAAAATAATTTCCAACACTCTTATCATCTTATTTTAGAGGAATACAGAAGTCCTCTTATTGGCTTACTAAAGGAGGACCCTTTTCATTTTACTTTGACATACTGTCGTCAGCGTTCAAATATGGAAACAGATGCTTCATCGAATACCCTGCCGACATGCTCGACTTTTTCAAACAAGCTTTTTCCAGCTGGAATGTCAGAGTGATTTACATTAATTGAAATCCTCGAAAACGACAACTGATTTACATCTCTGTTTTCGATTCGAGGTGGTAAAGTTCACAATACATCATAAATCCCATACTTTCCGCAGTCGGTTCTTACCACCATGATGCAAGTTTAAAGCGAATGGAAAGAGTGAATTACCCGTGAATATCCACAATACAAAAGAGAAAAATACTGAGGAAGCCAACTCGAAGCTCCTATTTTCTTTTTTTTTTTTACATTCAGATCGTTTACGCAATGAAAGCAACGGTTGGGAACTTAAAACAAATGTAAACAAGGTCGCTAAAACGAGTTAAGACTGCTTAGAATGTAACTTAAATACCACTTTACCTTTGCACATTTATTGGAATACCCTGGATTAAGGATTATATGCGAATTCGAAATGCACACTGCAACTGGTTAGCGAAAAATATGCTACATGAGTATATATCGAAGTGATTTCGGCCCGGGCACCTCGCTAATACGGACACGAAATTGTGGTATGAAGGGAAAGCGGTGCCACAAGAACAAGCTTTGGCTCTATCTTTTCCACTGCATGAGAGCACTTAAAGGTTGTGGACATTTAGTATCGGCAGCAATATTATTTGCTTTTTATCGGGGTCGGGCGAAACAATCCCCCTCCTTTATCAGGACCGTTCAGCCGACCTCTACAGCACTGACCAAGTAGACTGAATGTTTCAGATGTAAAGAGGGTTTTTCAGCTGTATTCATCTTCTTTGGACTAACCTTACATTGTCCCCTGCTTGCTAAACTAACTTCAAAGCTAAAGTTAAAAAAAGGCTCCTTAAATGTGATTTGATCCGAACAAGTGCATTTGAATGGCCTTGACCGTAAAACCATTTCTCTTTTAAAGAGACAGTCAAAGATTTCATGTCATTTGAAGAAATAGTTGATCAGTTATTCTCGTCTTATTTTTCTGTAATCCAATTTAATATACATTGAATAATGTTTCTACTTAGATCAACCCAGAAAGTTGACTAGAATACTAAAATTAGTGCGGCAAAAAATATATGGCATTGGGCTTTTCAAAACTGTTTTGAAGTAATAGTAATCAGTTCTGTTATTCTCTTACACAAATTCTCAAGCCTACGCTCCCTTTAATTCGTCCTTAGCTAAAAGAAAAAGAGAAAGGGAACAATTTTGCGCTACTTGAAAAGAGAGTTGAAAAAAAAACTGCTATGTTCTCCCCTTATTCATCTGTAATTAGATTCGATATAAGTTGAAGAGGATCTCTTCACTGAAAAGAATGGTTGCCATTGATCTTTTGAAAGACTGTTTTGACGCAGTTTTTATCAGCTCTGTTGTTCTATTACACAAATTATCAAAACATCGCATCGTAAAACTTTGGTGTTGGTTCTGGCGTTATTGAATTTTTAATTTATTCAAGAATGGTAAAAGTGATCGGTCATTTCAAGCTAAAATACTCGTGATATGTTGAATTAACTCGCCTGCTTCTGTAAAAACTGATTAAAGCGTCGCACGTAGACGGCAAAGTTCAGTTATCAAAGAGTAACATTTGTGACCCTCCATGCAAAAACAGGAAATAAGGCACGAGTACGCGTGCGATGACAAGGCACGCTAAGCATGTCACCAATCTCATGGATATGCTTCTACTTGATAGGCAACACAAAGACTGGCACGGCAGCTTTTGTGTGGCATGCTTAAGCTTTTGTCCCTAAGAGTACGGTGGGTGTCACGGTTCCGAGACGCCAGAGTTTAATATAGCGGAACCTTTTACGTTGACAGTTGAATGAAGTAAAGTATATCTTGCCTAAATGTGAAACTTATGTTGAAAAACGATATCTATTACTTTCAATCATTTGAATTCATTTCTTGAAAATTATGGCGCTAGGATCAATTGAGAACGGCTGTTTCAGTTCGGAACGGTTGAAGAAGGGATCTCGACTTTGCCGTAGGCTTCCTAATTTGGCCATGATTGAGACGCCTAACTTGTTATGTCTCAAGGTTTATGGATAAATGTTGCTATTATATTTTCTCTACGACCACTGGAAATCATGGAATTGAATTACCAACAGCTATAAGACGGTATACTAAATTCGATGTCAAAAGCAACGCCCGTATTTTTGTAAACTTGGATCGGCTGAAATTCGAAGTTCCGTTGGTTTCCTAAAAAGTTAAGCCTCTGAGACAAGGATAAGATATCAAAAAGTAATAATAAAAAGATTGAACGGACCGAAGGAATTGTAAAAGTTCTGTTCTAAATGAAACTATTAGGTCATAACGTAACAGTACTCATCCATTTGCTAAGTGAAGCCTACACTCTCATACTTCACGACGGCTAACAAGCATGAAACGACTACAATACTCCCTTCGAAACTGGATATAATTCTGTTGAACCTAACAGAGCCGAAAATTAAAGCAGGGCGTCCTAGGGATTTTTTTTTATAGAGGGAAGAAGCGGTTCAGTCACTGCCAAACAGTTTTTTTTTTAGAAATTTACCCCCTTTATGCAGGTATATAAGCTTGCGATCAAATTATTGATTGAAGCAAAGTCATATTATAATAATGCTGTTAGTGGAGCGAGTTTAGGGAGCCAAGAGATGTCGTAAAATTAAATGCACGCCAAGGAGAAAATTTCATCTATGCATTTAATACGTGATACCGACAAAGATGCATTTAGCATATAAATTAGTGTGCAATTAAAAAAAATCACCCACGATACCGAAAAAAATGACAACTTACGTTTGTAGACAACTGTGTTCTTGAATTGAATCCTCAACAACAATAACAGCGTCAGCAAAACCGACTGACACGGCACACCTCACCTGATTCTGGAAACAGATGAAGAAGTCGATGTCATAGACTGTAGGTAATTTGCAAACTCGAATGAAAACAAGCTCACAGTTTATGACTGAAAATATTTTTATGAATCTTTGAACTTGTCCACTTTGCTTTTCAAAATTATAATTTTGCATTCATTTCCCTTGACCAATGATGTAATTCTTCGATGCGTCTTTGCCAAAAATAACTTCCCAATATGATGACGAAATTGTTTATATCGGTCAGCTCAATGACCATGAGAGGTGAATACGTAGTAGCATTAAGGGGTTCCCCGACAGATTTCTGAGAAACCGAAAGAGCTTAAATGTGCTGAGGTTGTAATTTAGATTTGGATAGTGACACTTGTGCGTTCGACTCCTTTTTGAGTATTTCTTAAAGATAATAATACCATATATTAGCAAACTAACAATGGATAAAACTCATCAAGAGAAAGATCTAGAATTGAAGCATGAAGTATTCTTCTTAACAGCCATAAGCGGATCGATCAAGTCGAATTGGAAGGCAGGACTTCTTATTCTGTTCATCGTGACTGCTTGTTTTGTTGCGGCATATGAACTGGTATCACTGCGTAAACAATCTCTCCAAAATAACGGTGAGTGTAGGAAACTATTATTTTTATTGCTGGGTAAAAGGATTGAATACAGCAATCACAGGAAAATTGGGCTGATGTAGCATAAATCTCAGATAATATAACTGTTGGCATGAGAGTTGCTCAACATTCTTACAGAAATTAACTAGAAATAACCTGTTATCCGATCTTTGTCTGAGTCTAAACTTGATTGTTAAAGATACGAAAAGAACAGCGATGGATATCAGTAGTTTAACTTTTTTTCGACTGTGAACTTGACAACAAGAAAATGCTTTGATAAGCAATTTGCACGTACTAATGTAAAGCTGTTGTCTCTCGGTTTGACCTGCTGAATAATTAGTGTATGGTCTCCAGACAATTCGCTGAAATAATAAAAGAAGTTCAGCGGCCGTTTAGAATTTTTAAATTCGGTATAAAAAATATCGATCCGTCTCGTCTCTCCTTAACAGATGCACCAACACCAGTTACAATTTTTAACTGCCGTCAGGAGCCATTTTGTGATGGAAACGTCACTTGCAAAACAAATCCAGAAGATAAGACTCATTTCAATTGCGTTTGTAATTAAGGCTTCAAGGGAGATGGATTGTTGTGCAAGGATATTGATGAGTGATAGCTCAAGACCCATACTTGTAGCAAGCACACAATTTGCACTAATTCCATGGGCTCACACACTTGCAGCTGCTTAAAGGGGTTCCGTGGAAACGGATCGTTGTACGAAGATTGATGAGTGCTAAACGAGTGCAAATAATTGGAGAATTGAATCTCTCTGCAACAATACCCTCAGCTCTTACAATTGCACATGTCTCGTAGGATTCGGAAGGGATGGGATTTCATGTCACGATGTGGATGAATGTACTTCTAGAATCGTTAGCTATAGTGATAACCAAGTTTGCCAAAACTGGTTCTTTTCATTGTCCCTTTCTTGAAGGATTCGAGAAAAATAGAACATTAAGATGTAAATGAGTGTAACTCTTATATCCATAACTGCAGTGCTTTTGCTCAGTGCAAAAACACTGTTGGTTCCGTTAACTGTTCATGTAGAGCAGGCTTCCTGGGTGATGGACGCTTGTGCCACGATGTTGATGAGTGTGAGAATGGGACTCACAGGTGTGATGCGAACGCACAATGCATTAACACTTTGGGATCTCTCAAAAGCACCTGCAATTCTGGATTTTCTGGTGATGGTCAGGTTTGTCAAGATGTTGACAAATGTCTGAACGGTTTTGGTGACTGCAGTTCCACAGGAACTTGCAGCAACAATGAAGTTTCATATACATGTTCATGCAATGGAGGTTTGCATGGAAATGGCCGTATATGCAAGTGCAAATCTGGTTTCCATGGTAAAGGTTTCTCGTGCTTTGGTCAAGATGAGTGTTCATAGGCAGGGTACCTATGTCATCAGAGAGCTTCCTGTGCTAATATTTTTGGATCATATAGGTGCCTCTGCAATAGTGGATATCTTGGAGATGGCACACAATAAAAAGGTAGGCAAGCTATATTAAGAGTTTTCCTACCTGACACGTAACATTACCCCTCTTATTTTTCGGGTTTTTAAATAAGTTAAATACCATATTTCCCAACTTTGTCTTCTTTTATCTTACAGCCTCTTTGGCGGAAAGGCCTGCCTTGCTTATTGAAATGTTTATCTGTGTTATCACTATCCAGTTTATGTTTCGACAGATTGTAAGCCTGCATCTAAATATGGAAAAGGTAAATTTTTAATATTTTAAAAGAAAAATTGTAAATGGTAACACGACTGAAGCTGAAGGATTGTGATTTGCTAGTAAAAGTAAAGCTTAAAAAATGATTTAAGATCAATAAACAGCGGCTACCACAAAGGTGCCACATAGACAAGATACATAATACATAATTAGTACAAATTGGTGGCAGAACGAAATAGAAATGGAAAAAACAGAAACGTCGAATGGGACATAAAACGAGGTAAGAGAATGTCGTTAGATATCGCTATCCAGAATGTGGGTGTCTTTTATTTTTAATCAACATAAAGCATAACAGAATTTATGACGACATTGGGGAAACAAATAATGATCACGAGTGTTTCAGAAGGAGAGACAGAGACTTAATACTTTTAATTATTTAGAAATTTACCAGAAGCTAAATGGAAACCATTGTCAAGCAATGCTAAAAAATCTAATATTTCCTTTGTCAAAGTCTTTCAGACTGTCAAATAACTTATCACATTCAAACTTTGAATGATTAAAAGATGTATTGATTGCATGCTTATCTGCAAAGATGGTGGGGCATGACGCTTCGCCGGTTTAAGTGGCCTTTCACAACTCCCCCTTTTACATGCACTTTTACATGGTAGGGTATTTTTTATTGTTATAAGTTTTTATTTTGTTTTGCAGGTATGCACTAAATATATTGATATGATAAGGCTTATGGGTACAATTTATAACGGTAATAGGACTGAGTGGAGTCCAAACTAGACATCGGCTATACGTTTTCATAAAAAAAAGAAAAAAAAAATCAGTTAACTCGTCGAAATGCGAGACAACAGCGCGTGCTCATGATGCGTTCTGTACACATACATAGGTATGACGTGTTAACTTTCCTTTAACTATCCTACCGCACCGTCCAATTACAAGCATAACGCACACACTGTCCTATTGGTGCTCAAATCGGGCAAGTGATAACCAATCACGTTCGAGAATTTTGTTGTGGTTTTGACTGGCGCGGGATTTACTTCTCATATAAAACCAGAACGCTCTCATGAAGTCATCTTCAACGTCGAGTTTCCTTTCTTATTTTTGTATTCAAAATAGGAGCCGTTAAGTGCCACTATTATTGCACTGTCTTAGTGTTTAATGCTTTGCTAAAAATAAAGATTAAAAACTGCGACCCCTAAAAGGGCGGTGCACAGGCACAAGTGATAACATAATCAGCTTGGATTAATCGCAGATCCACATATAGAGGGGTAAACGACACAAACGTCGACTGACCCATGGAACGAGATTAGGCAAGGTCGCAGCCAAAAGGTATTACTACAAAGAGGGAATTGTAGTTGACATTCAGAAAACACACCGAAAAAAGAAAAATTCCAGGGAAAGAAAGACAATAAAATTTTACTTATTGTTCCCACGGAGTTTAGGCGGAACTATTCAAATCATGTCAGACAAGTAACTCTTTCTCTTTATAAGTTATTAAAACTATTTCATACTAGGGCTCAACAAATAATTTGATTGAAGGCTCATCTCATCTCAGGTCTTGACCTCAGACTCTACTTACCAAACAGCTCGCTGTTTGGCAGTTAGAGTCTTCACTCGCGCAATGCTAAAGTAGCTAGGGAGAAGGACAATTGTTCGGAAAGGGTTGTAAGTAGCTACTAGCATTATTAGCAAGTGAAGGTATTCCAGAAAAAACTAACGTTTTGAACGAATCGACAAAACATTTGTTTCCAGTTTTAAGTCTCAGGAAGTATTTATGGCTGTACGAATCGAGAGGCTGACACTACACAGTTGATCACTATCTTTTTTTATTTTCAACTGAACTGATTCGTATTATAATGAAGTCAGAAATTTTCGTGGAGGTAGTGAAAATACTTCCATGCCAGTTACACAGGGTTAACATGAGCCTTAACATATTCTTCCAACAGGACCTTCTTGACGTCTTTGTTATCAAGGTCGGTCCTCACTAAGCGATGTTCTACGACGTGGTTCGAAGGCAGAGTGACCGGCTTCTTTGTTCTGTGCAAAAGGAAGAAAATACTTGTTAAAATACAAAATATGCGTTTTACGTTCCCCATCAGCGATGGTTTTTTCTACTTGTTTTATGAACATCAATGCCTATAAACTTTGCTTTTTTTTCGGTACAATGTAGTGTAGCAATTACTTGTGATTACTTCTCCATCGTCCTGAACATCTTTTATTGACAAATGCAAGGAAGGAAACATTTTTAGCTTTGAAGGATATTATTATAGATAATCTTCAGTATCTTGCCAAGAGTCTTATTCTCTCCCAAACATTTTCTTGACACGGGAAATTAGTATTAAGCCGTTCTCTCCAGGCCCTTTCATCCCAGCGTTCCCTTCGGTTGCATCTATCCCGTCAAACTCAGAAGATGAGAACCGATAGCTCAAAAGAAATGATATTCAACTGTTGGAGCTGTTTCAGAACTTACTTTTAAGAAGTGTGAAACTGGAAACTGTGATAACCGCCTCCTTTGAGTAGTAGGAACATAGTCACATCACCTCTCAACATGTTGTTGGGGACGGTCATTTTCTCAAAGGTCGGGTCCCAGCCAATAATCCTCTTTCCTATAATGGTACGTTGGCTGGAAAATTGACCCCATCATACATGGATTTGTGTGTACATAAATTACCCTCAAGGCTGTAAAAATTAAGGGAAATTTGAGATATCCGTAACAAAAATGTAAAAGTACCCTCATATCTGTGTCACATACCTAGAGTGTAATGTGCCCTGGAGAATAATGCGTTAGCGCCTCATATTTTTGAGATTTTGCCATATCCGCTGCGATGTTTTCCAAATTAAACCCATTTTCCCACAGATGCCTTTTTTGAAATACAGTCGTCTAAATATTCTCTTGTCACTATGCTTTTTTTGTAGTTTTGTTCCCCCGTAGCTAGGCAGGAAGCGTTCTCGTGAGCATCACAACTAAGTTACACTTTCAAAAACGGCGTGGCCTCCTCCGTATAAAAAATGCTCTTGAAGATTTTTTTTAAGGAGTATTATCTCAATACCATACTAATCATCACTTTTATACCTAATATACCAACTGGCTGTCGCAACTCCCCCATGACCTTTCATACGACATTCCAGCAGGAAAGGCTTGCTTGAAGTAGTTGGGCATGCCCTCAGGATAATAGGTGAAGCACCTATTTCAAGATTTGAACGCTGACGACAGTATTGCAAAGGAAAATGAAAGGGGTCCTCCTTTGGCAAGTGGACTTCTGTATTCCTCTAAAATAAGATGATAAGAGTGTTGGAAATTATTTTCAGAAACAGCTCATGTATGACCTGAAATACAGGAAAATTAGGAAAGACCAAGTATTTTATGCTCATGATAACTCAAACTTAAGTCAAAAACTGCATAACCTTTCATGTTAAGTTGTAAGAAATTAAAATATCGCAATTTAATTTAGCTGTAACTGAGCTTTTACTGGACAATTTGTAGTAGCCTTTACACTTCGCCCCACTCTGGAAGCAGATGAAGAAGTGAATGTCATAGAATGTTGGTAATTTGCAAACGCGGAAAAAAAAGCCCATAGTTTATAACTGAAAATCTTATTATGAATCTTTGATCTTGTTCACTTTGCTTTTCAAAAAGTCTTTATTCATTTTAGTAATTTCTCAAAATCATTGATACCGTGACACCAGGCCTTATTAGACGACAGCAATGTGATCTTATGCAACTATTTGTTTAACAATAACTTTTTAATCCATAGTAATGAAATAATTCATCGTAGTCCGTCTTTTAAGAGATACTTACTCGTTACGCTTTCCTTTTCCTTCCCCTTCGATCTCAAGGTAATGTCCACTGACATTGCCCTTAATTTCAAATTCCATCCTCATGTCTTTTAGAACGACCTGAATAAGTAAAAGGAAAGAAACGATAATTTTCTAATGACATTAATATTTCAAAGACCTAAGTTGGTTTTACTTTCCAGTAGATTACTTGCTTACCATCTATCAATTTTTTTATTTCTACTATTAAGATACAGCTTACACCATATCAAATAAACACAGAGCGCCTCACACCATTTGGCTATATATATCTAAATGTCCTAATCTTTGACCTTCTTTCAAAACATTTCCTTGCGCTGCAATATATCATCGCATCAGAAACAAACACTTGACTAACTTTGGCTTCAAGGTGAGTTGGAAGCTTGAGGACATACAGAATGAATTAGATAAGCCATAACTGACACATGAAGACCGGTTAATTAGTATAGCGACACACTACGACGGCATTTTTCTGTCTGGGGTTTGTGGGGCATGTATCTGATGAAGCTCAGATTTCTCCACTTTTTAAATAATATTTCTTGGTAAAGGTATACATTTTTCCTTTGAAAATTTTGTTCTTCTCAAAGTATAGCGACTGCAGACTGCAGACTACAGACCGGGGATAAAATGCAGACTGAAAACTGCAGACTAGAGGTTAAATGTAGACTCGGTTTTAAAACAACCCGCTACCTCGGGCAACGTAAGTCATGAGAGGCTGGCAATAATCGTCATTGCGATTGATGTTTCGAACTTCACTTCCACAGGTGGTTTTGGCGTTGACATATTGTTTCAAGGTAAGAACGAGAAACGTAAGTGTTTGAATATGCAGTTCACAGCCAGCTAAATACATCTCCCTTGTTAAGGAATAGGCAGTTTGCTGAGCAATATTTGGTAGCTTTAACATACATGTACCTCATATATACTTTGTTCGGCCTTGAAAGAAATAGCGATACACTTTTGTCATGTATTACATGACGTACTGAGCGCAGACAGGCTTCATGTACTCATATATGAAGTAGGTAATAAAAGAAAAAGCACATGGTCGATCAGTGTGTAAACCTTATCTGTACGAATCCAAGGCATAGTATATGCATTAGGAGGATACAACATTGGCGACGAGGATAATTCTGTGAGACACAAGATGTCTTTGAGCG